CCCCAAAACCCCAAAACCCCAAAACCCCAAAACCCCATATTACAATTTCTCATTGAATAATTACCCTATCTTCTAAATCTCTTTACCTCAACTTTAAAGTTCCTTTTTCATAAACTGGTTCAAGCTCTGATACTCCCGCATCCCATGCTCGACTTGCCCTATCATCTTCATGCATGATTTCATCATTTTCGAGCTTGGCCTTTCAATCTCCCCCTTCTCATCAGGCTCTAGCCATGACCTCTTCTCATTCCTTCCTCTCTGGTTGTTCTGTAACATCTTTGTCACTATAAATCGCTTAAATTTCTATTCACCGTGGCTGTGACCGTAACCGTGCCCACAGCCGATATTCTAAAGTTAGTGCTTACGCTTGCTCAAGCCTTTTTCCTTAATATTCCTGTTGTGGTTGAACCAGAACTCGGCGGATTGGAAGTCACGCTCCAGGTTGTGGGTTTGGAGGGATTTTTGGAGTGCCTTTGAAGGAAATTTTTTGGACTGTAGAGAGGAAATGAGGGAGAGTGGGGATAGGAGTGGAGGAATAAGGGTAGACGGTTGGTAAGAGAGTTGAATAGAAGGAAATCAATGACCTCTTATGTTTTGAAGCGTTAAAATTTGTAAATATTTGATAATTATGATGGTATTCGGAATCTAAAGCTTGAAGTTAATATCCTCAGCCCTCTTTCACTAATTCTATACCTTTTTGGATCGCTTGCCTTGATACTTATTTCAACTTAGCGCTCATTTCTCGAAGGGATCTCAAAATATAAGGCGTCTCTGGGTTCCTATAAAAACTTCCTAATCAGCTCAACACAAAAGCCCTATCACCCTTATACTTACTTATTTGGGAGATACAGTTGTGAATAAGTTTAGAGTTTTAATAGTGGCGAGGGGGTCTTTTGGGCTGTTTTTGGAAGAGATTTTTGGGTGGGATTGGGAGATTGGCTTGGATTTGGTATTGGGTGTGTGGGATTTGAGGGGTTGGGTATCTTTCTCAGTGGTTTTTTTTAGTTTGAATAGGAGAGGTGTCATTGGGTTGACGTTAGTGTGAGGGTTGTGTTTTAGGGAGGGATTGGAGGATGCTGAAGGGAAAGAGGGAGGCTCTTTTGAGGAGGTTGGTAATGCGTTGTTAATTCTGTGCTAGATTTTTAGATTACAACTGGTTTACTTGTCTTAGGCCTAGGTTTATTTGAAGATGCTTTTTGCTTCATTGACTGAATGGTCCTGTACACACTAGGTTTTTTGGATTTGTTTTGTTTTAGCATCTAATAAATTAGTAAACAAGAAAAAGATAAAATTTACCATAGTATATTTGGATTGGAAAATTCTTAGGAGGATCAGCCCCTATAGTTAATAGGTGGTTCAAAGGCAGTCTGAATTTGTTTGGAGTTCTCTTATTTTCTTCCAAATTTTGATTTGTTTCTGGTAGATTTTCAGCTTGTCTTAAGCTTCTTAGAAGTTCTTTTGAATGAAATTGGTCTTAATCTCTGATTACTACAAAGATGTTTCTAGTGTTTAGCTTACACAAATAAAGGGGTGAAATTTCTACTAGTCTTTACATTTCCGTCCTGGTACTGTATATCTCTATAGAAGAAATGTTAGATTATTAACATTTAAATTTTTCTTACTTAGAATGTGAATTCATTGCATCCCTAACTGAGGAAATATCTCTGATCTGGATGTGGGAGTTATTTTGGAAGAATGACTTCACTGGAAGATGGGATTAAAGAGGGGGATAAGGCAATAGTCTTCCCAACAGCTCCTTCCTCTAATACTTTACTCTCATGAAGCTTTGAAGATAACAAAGATTTGTTGCCTTTTGATTTAGGTGTCCTGTATAAGTTCTGGCCCTTCGCTGAATACTGCCAATCAGACTTGTTCTGTTGTTTTGGATATTTTGTAGGGACAAAATTATTGTTATTCTTCCATACAGAGTCCCAAGCTTGTTCACTTGTATTCTCATCTTCTAAACCCATTATTAACAAGACTAGAGACAACTGTAAAGACCTTTCAACACTCTTCAACCCAATTTCCTCCATAAAATACGAACATACAAAGAATAAATATCTATAACAATTAAGGTCTAGAAGCTATGCCAGCCCTTAATCCCTCCTCACGTGTGACTTACTCATTTTAGGGTTCACTCAGTCAATTTCAATTCCACAGTCCATTATGGGCTAACAGATAATAAATTATTTATATTTTCAACTATTTTAATCCTAATTGGGGTTTTGGGGTTTTGGGGTTTTGGGG